TCACTCAGGGCCATTGAACAGTGAGGGTTCTTTATCGTGCCAACACCTACTGTGACATGGGACCTCGGTTTTTAAGGCCTCATCTGAAAGACAGACCAGTGACTTTCATTTCTAGTGCCTGGCGCTTGCCGTAGGAACAGTTATTGCCTATGTTTACGTCTTAGGTTTGACGCGGCGCAGCGAACGAGAATCGAACGTGGGCCTCCCGATCACGAAGCGAGCGCCCTACCACTAGGCTACCGTCACCGGTGATGAACGCCTCAGTATGATATCCATTCCTTTTTTAAGTCAGTACGAGAATAACAGGTAAATGACATTATCATAAACTAACACTCTGCCAAAAGAATGATTATGCTCTTTTTGTGATTTATATTCAGCTTTTATAATTTTTTGTCGCTCTGTATGATTTAAAAGAAATATTTTAATCATGTTTTTATTTCCAAAAAAAAAAAAAAAAAAAAAATACAATAAAAATTTGGTTGAGTTGAAAAAAGAAAAATGTTCAAGTAAACAATTATAATGACGATAATTGCTGACTTTGGTTAATCCCGGGGATCCCGGATATAACTCCGTAAAGAATCACGTGTTTTGAGTATTCTTTTCACAAGTAACAAAATTACTATTATAGTCCAGTTAATTTAGCAAAAATATGGGCCCGATGTCAAACTTATTTCCACACAAATTATTTGGACACAACTGAAATTATGTCAAAATATGTACAAAATATTTGCATTAAAAAAACTTAGAAAATCTAATGAGCTGAAAGCATAATTTTGGCATGATTTATTTAGCTATGGGAATCACTATAGAAAAAAAGGCATAACTCAGTAATTTATCTCATATTTTGAAAAAGAGAATTCCTGTTTTTCATGAATGCGTAATCTTATTTACATTTTTTTGATAGAGTTTAATAGATGATTACTTTATATATATAATTTGATACGGATATTTTGATTTTAGTTTCATGCTTTTTGTTTACTTTGAAATATTAGCATGTTTTAATTGATAGTGAATGCATAGTTTAAAAAATAATAAAAATAAATAAATTGCCCTTGGATTAAGATTTAGTATATGGATGTATCATTGCATTTAATACATAAATACTAACTCTATTAATAATAAAAAAAAATATCCATAAAGATTGAGAAACTTGACTTGACATATGTTTGATAACTTCTACCCTAAAATTTTATTTTTATGAGGCAAGAAAACTCAAAAGCACTCTGATAGTAGCTTAAACATTCATAAAAAAATCTTTAGATGGAAAAGGTTTTACTGCATAACTGTTATACACAGTTGAATTAAAATTCACTTCTTTCCTCAAGTTTGAAAAATGATATTTTTAACAAAATTTACTAAACTGACAAGAGTTATGCCTCTTTTCTACAGTTATTTTCAAAGAAAATTTATGAACCCTATATAATGATATCCCCTCATCTGATTTGTTAATGTTTTTATTACATGTATTTTGTGCATTCTAGAGTTTATGAATGACAACATTGCAATTAGTTTTATGTTTCATGATAAATTGAATGGACTATGAATTTTGAGCAAATTGAAAGCAAAACGAAAAAAAAAAAACTTATGATGTAGCATATAACATTGAAGCTCATATTTTCTAAAATTTTCTAAATAATATCATGGCTTAGAAGTTGCTAGAGCATTTCACACCAAAATATATTTAAAGTGTGTTAAGAAAATTCTTTTATTTAGAAATTAGTAAAACTACGGATTTCGGGACGCGTTTGATTGACACAAATCCTTGCACTTTTACAAAGTAAACTTTATCCGTAATACTCAAGAAAAGTAGAAATTTTGTTGTGTAGTAATGAGCAATATGAAAAATACAATCTAGAAAGTTCAGAGTAGAAATGCGACAAAGCAAAACCAACTCACGAGTATTGTCAGTCTGTGCTCAGTGATGTGTGCAGACTGAACAAATTGAACACACCCTGTAAAACGTAAACACTTAACAATAACAGAGCTCGTGCACTGTTAACAAAGCTGTCCTATGTCCTATTGTCCTATACAAAGTTACAGGTGTTTGACATGATGCTATGAAGAATGTAGTTATCATTGAATTCTTAGAATATTCCTGTAGTTCAAATCATTAAATTGAAGTTATTTTTTTAAATAGAATTAGACATTTGAAATTGTTAACAATGCAACTTTGTCCAGGCCCCTTTAAGGAAATTGGCAAGTCATGGTTTTCCGGAGTGGTCTACTTTTTCACTTTTGAAATAGCACTGGGAGCTCCTCGGGTGGCTCGTACCTCGCACAATAACCTCGGACGTAAACGGTGTTCTACCATTTTGCTGATACAATCAAGTGATCTTATTTGATTGATTGATTGCATGTTGTTTAACGTCCCATTCGACTATTTTTCACTCATATAGAGACGTCACCATACACCGGTGAAGGGCTTCAAATTTTGACCTTTACTCGGCACTCAGGGCCATTGAGCAGTGACGGATCTCTATCTTGCCAACGCCTACCGTGACACAGAGCCTCGGTTTTTAAGGTCTCATCCGAAGGAACCGCAACTTTCACTTCAAATGGAGCACGGCGAAGGAACAGTTGCTACCCATTTCTTATCGACTTAGGTCAATCGCGGCCGAGATTCGAACTCATGACCTCTCGATCACGGAGCGAGATCTTATTTGAAATTTTATTTGAAATCTGAGTTACTTTGTGGCACGCCCAACAATTGATCAGTTCCTAGCTTGCATGAAGAAAGCAGCATTTACTAATTACGAATAAAAATCAAAATAAATCCATTTCAATATTTTTATGACAGTGTGTTTCAATCAATTCAGTCAATTACATGATAGGAACTATCAACCAGTCTGACTCAATCAATTCAGTCAATTACATGAAAGATACTATCAACCAGTCTGACTCTCTTGACCATTATGAATGATATGTAATTATATCTTTAAGGGAAGTAACTCAATAAATACAGATCGGTGCCGGTTTGTCCTTGTCTTGTTTCTATATGTAGATTTTCAGCCAAAATATCTATAAGTCAAAGGAAATGAAGATACAATAATGTATATAATACAAAAATTATATGAAATAATTTAGGGTTGGAGAAAAATTATGGTGAATAATTCTGTTGGATCCTTTTATTAACATTTTACATCGGAAATGCATTGAGAATTGCAAAAACACTGATTTGACAAAATTTAAAAAATAAGGTTGGCTTGGTAGGTCAAACGATCCAGAATATAGCCTCTCTAGTACAATTAATCCTAATCAAGAGTTCTTGAAAAATTCTATACGATAACCAGAAACCTTGCCTATGTCCTTAACTGACAACCATGTTGTACATGTACTAATGTGTATTGAAAAGCAAATTAATTAATTTCCAAAATAATATTTAAACGGGAATATTTGTCATTTTAATTTACCGTCGCTCTCCACTCGATGTGTGACAGTTGTCCAATTATTTACCGACATCAACGCAAATTTCTGTCTACTTTTTGTCGCAATGGCTTTGAAACACTGCACGTGCAGATTTCATAACTTACGTAATTAATAAATTTAGTAAATTATTATTAAGACAATATTACAACGGAGAATTCTTTATTTTTTGTATTTTTAAAACAATTATACCCGCCTTGTGTACTACAGGGTTTTGGACCCCTTCCAGGAATCTTCTAATTTTCCAATCTATAAATTCCCACGCAGTTTTCGGCATGTAGATTTCGTGCAAATTTTTCGAGTAAGCAAAATAACAGGTATGTACAGAAAAAATATCATGTTTGTCATAAAAATTAAATTGTTAGCATTGACTATATAACTTACTTTGTTAGCCCCCTACCGGTGAAACCGGAGGGGACTATAGGTTTCCTCTGAGTCTGTCCGTCCGACAGTCGGTCTGTCTGTCTGTCTGTCTGTCCCTCTGTCCCTCTGTCCCTCTGTCTGTCCCACTTGGTTTTCCGCACTTTTTTTCTAAACTCTTGCAGATATCCAGCTGATTTTTGGTATGTGAGTGTATCTTGATGAGTTACAGATCAAGTTTGCATTTCGTTCCGCTTCATTGATTTTTGACGGAATTACGGCCTTTTCAATTTTTAGGGGTTTTCCGCATTTTTCTTCTTAACGCTTTCATATATTGAGCTGATTTTTGGTATGTGACTTTACCTTGATTAGTTATAGATCAAGTTTGCATTTCGTCCCGCTTCATTGATTTTTGACGGAATTATGGCATTTTCAATTCTTAACGGAAACCAGATTACACTTGCCGGTAGGGGACTAGTATTGCTAATGCAATACTCTCAGAATGCTTGTTCATCGAGAAATGAATTTAAAAAAACGAATGGCACACTTTGTTTATGAAAGTATTTGGCCTTAGTCGATCCTTTATTAAAGATCTTTTAGTTAGGCTTGCAAAAGAAATAATGTATCATTGATTCAATTCATTTAAACATATATAAATGTTAATTTAAAATGTATCAATGTATCAATAATGATTTTAATTCCATGGTATGTCTTGCTATGAAGCGTGATGTTACTACAAATAAAAGTGAACTTCCATGAAACTCTAAAGTCTCAAATCATGAACAATTGTTATCATTTCTGTTGTTGAAAAAAAAATCATTAATGCTAAATGAATCAGAGTCGCATTCACCTACTTCATCAATTCGTGGAAAGAATATGAGTTGCAGAATCTCTCCAATGTTTCAGTTTTTTTTCTTTCCACGAAAGCATAAATTTATAATTTGTATTCAGTACTTGTCGATAGAATTAATTGAATTTGGTTTTTTTTTGTTTTCATTTTTTTAACCTCTGTCAAAATGATTGAGCATTAGGGTGACCAACTTTTACTAGATTTGACAAATATTATATAATTTGTTAAAACATCGTTTAAATTTGCATTTCATGCAAGTTGTTTATTGATTTAAATTTGGGAAAAATATCCCGACGAGAAATACTTTTGGGCAAAAATATCAGGAAAAATAAGGATGGTAGACCAATAGAAAAAATCAACCCAACCAAAGTTGCGGTGGCAGAATGTGACCCGTTGCAGTCCTCTTAAACTATAAAAGACGCAAGACTTTCGTTTGAAAGCATTCTCGTTTCTACACAGAATCAGATTGCAGGTAAGTGTAAGTAGAATTATCCAAGGTTAGGAAACATCGCATTTAAAACTTCTAGAAAAAAATATTAAACTTATTTTCTAGAAAGATTAACTAATAATTTTAAATTTTTACAGTTTGTAATAACTTTAAGGACAACTTTCTCCTTGCAGAATAATCTTATAATCTGAATTCAAGGAGTGACAAAAGTCGTGAGAAGATTTGAAAGAGAGTAGTAGAATAATTATTGTGATTAACGAACCTAGCATGTTTAATCGTTGCTACTTTGTAAAACACTATCGAATTCAGAAATTGATCATAGATCACATACATTTAATTCGTGTCCCTCAACTTAATTTAATATGAACTTTATCAACCCAAGTACAGTTTTTCCATCATGCATTTTAACTGTGTTTCAAATCTGCCCCGAATATTATGAATATATGAAAACGAAGAAAGATGAGTTGTGGGATATTTATTATGAAAGCAAAAGTTTGAATTGCAGTGGCGTAAGGTCCTTTACGCAACAACACAAATCTATACACAGATTTTTCAATAAAAATAATTAAATATATATTTTAAAAAAAGATGTCAAAAGTTCAATAATAGATCAAAATAAAATAGCTTTTAGAATTAAAAAAATTCTAGATTTATTTTATCTCTACATATAAACTATAATATCAGCTTTTAAATATGAGATCTTTGATGTAGTGTATTTCTCGTTTCATGTAATGATTTTAGTACTTCAAGGACGAATGTCATAATATTGTCAATTCAAAGAAATAGCAAATCATGAAATATGCAATTACTAATTCCCCTACTAATTTTAAAACCAAAATGTACTGCATTGTACAAGTACTATAATTTCAAAACAATCGATAAGTAAAATGTAACAGTATTTCAAATGAAAAATATTCAATTTTTTGTAGTTGGATATATATATAGAATTTAATACGCATACATGATAATAAAAAATATATATTACTTGTGAGATAAATTCTAGAACACTACCAAAATATTGAATTTTCTGTTTATTGCTTTTGCTTTGGTTTTCCTTTAGTCCATAACAGGTGACTCTTTCTTTAATAAAATTCAAAATAATATTGTCTTGAATGTAAATATATTATAGGTTTATTTAACTATGTCTTTATCATGATAACCAGAAAGGATTTTGAAGAAAAGGATTTAGTATTGTCAAAACTGGGCAATTTTTGTCAATACTTATAGTTGAACTACGGTGGTAAAAAATAAAATATTTCAAGGTAATTTTCTGATTTAAAACTGTTAAATTTCTTGAGCTTTGCCCCCTGAGCCCCAAGACTCCTTGCCTTTTTTGAATAGAGAAATTTTTTTTTGCTTGCTACCCCACTGAATTAAAATAGAATAAATATGATAATTCTAAAAGTGATGATAATGTATTGACAGTTAAAATGAACACCTTGATTGTGTTTGTCTCCATTCTGGCTTCCTGTAATGCGGGCGATGATTACGGTTCTAAAGGCATACACCTACGCGACGATGGGAGGATTGGCGGAGGACTCGGAAGTGTAGGAGGAACAGGAACACTAGGAGGAAGCGGAGGATTTGGAGGAGGAGGATTTGGAGGAGGGTTACTTGGAGGAGGAGGAGGATTTGGAGGAGGGTTACTTGGAGGAGGAGGAGGATTTGGAGGAGGGTTACTTGGAGGAGGAGGAGGATTTGGAGGAGGGTTACTTGGAGGAGGAGGAGGATTTGGAGGAGGGTTACTTAGAGGAATAGGATTTGGAGGAGGAGGAGGAGGATTTGGAGGAGGATTATTTGGAGGAGGATCACTGGGCTCATATTTTTCCGGTAACGTTATTTTGTCAATTTAAAAATGTATCAATGTTTAAATCACGTGTTATTTTCATTTGCAAGGATCGTCCTCCTTTGACATTTGTCCATGTTAATATCTGGATTTTTAGAACTTTTATTTAAGGAATATGAGCGAAAAAAGCATGCTAAGACATATGAATTCGTTTTGTAACACATTATAATAAATTTCAAATATTTGTTTGGATTACCTGTTTTCTGATACCTGCAGATTAAAAACGAAACCATGGATGTAGACAAACTGACAATAATATTTGAATGAAAATATTTTTTCAAGCTATTTTACTCTATATAGATTGTAAAAAAGATAACTTTCCTCTTTAGAATCGTTAATGTCTTAAAAGTAGTAATTGTTTTATTTTTATAGTGGAAAAATACGGGACTTGTCCTTATCCTGAAAGAGCAGACTTTCAACAAATGGGACCTATTTGCTCTAACGACGAAGATTGTCATGGGTCACAGAAATGTTGTCTAAACTCTAGATATGGAAAGAGGTGTCAAATCCCTATGGAATATCAAAAATCCGGAAATTGTAATATTTTCTTCATGGCGCCTCCTTTCCATCAAAAACGAAGAGCATGCAATGATGACACCATCTGCCCCGGAAGCGGCAAATGCTGTAAACGATTTTATTCTGGTCAAATTGACACTTGTACTTTGTTCAGCTCTTTTCCTTCTGGCTTCGGTGGAGTAGGCGGTTCGTTTGGACCAGTAGGCGGTGGAGGTGGTTCATTTGGTCCTGTAGGCGGTTCAGGTGTAGTAAGTCCTCTGTTACCAGTACTTCCTCAAGGATCTTTCAAGAAGAAGTATTAAAGATGTGTCCCTCTTTCCTCATCTTTGATATAATAAAGTACCTGTTACAAAAAAATTACCCTTTGTTTTATTTTATTTTCATATAGTGAATTAATAAGAAGCGAAAAGGGTCTCTTCTATGCGAAGTATGGCTGTCGTCCACCTGTCCATTTGCTCTTCGTCTCATATCTCCTAAGTTTAAAGTAACTGACTTTTATAAAGAATAACTGGTCCAAATTCAATAACCAAAATTAAGCGTAGACTGTTTTTTTCTAGTGAAAGCCCTAGCCCTTGTCAACGGGAAATAATTATAGAAGGTTAAAACTCGCTAGGGTCAATAGAAAATCTCTAAAATAACATGCTATAACGACAAAACATGTGTGACAAGAGCTTAATATAGGAACAATCCTCCAAAATACCCACACATTTTCTGGTAGATTTAAATCAATATTTAGCCTTGAGGCAAGGATAACAATAAGAAATCTTTAAAATCGATAATTTATTGGAAGAATCTTCTCCAGAGTAGCAGTTTCACAATAAGTCAAATAAATACTATTTAAAGCATCCATGTATATTGTATAGATTTTAAAAGTCTCATTAAATTATACAGTGATATAGGAGAAATTGCGGATAAGAGATGGGTACCCCCAAATGTAGCAGACAGATGGACGGACAGACAGACAGGACAGACAAACGCATGATGTAGGGACACCCAATCAGTATATACCCCCAATTTGCAAGCGAAGGGTATAATAAATACCACATCCATCTCCAAATAGGGTATACATTCATGTTTATTATGTATAGAGTATATTTATGGTATTTCAGCATTAAATTTGTCATGATTTATAAGAAATATTTCTTAAAAAATCTGTTACAAAAATGAATAAAGATGCATTTATTTACTGACTTCAAAGGTATCCTCAAGTAGTGGTAATCTAAATGTGCTTTAGTTATCCTTGCCCTGGGCGTTAGTGTATTACAGCAAAGAGAATGCCGCCGTAAAAATTAAATTTTACAGAGAGGTATAAGGACTTCCTCTTAGAAAAAAACCCTTAAATTCGTAAACCTTAAATTATAAGATGCTCAATTCTTAAAAGTTTTTTTTTTGTAAACATGCTTAATTTCGCTCGATGATAATGATCGCAAGATTATCATTATATGTTAATGTTCATTTGACAGCAACGGTAACGTTACTGATGTTAGCATTATAGATCTTTTTTTCTTCTCTTTTTCACTATTATGTTGTGCCTTTTCCCATTTATCTCGAAGCCTTAATTCTTGGATGTGTAATTTTTACTTTGGGAAGTTGAAGGAACTCTTTAAAGAAATAGCCTTAAATGAAATCTACTCAGTATTTTTGAATCAGCTACGTATTAATAATGCATCCCATTATGACACGGTCTTGTGAGAATGGAAAGGGAATGCAACCTTTGATTTGAACTGAACAAACACAGACAAGAGAAGGAATGTATATTACATGTACTTTCTAATTAATGACATAAACAATAACTTTATAAAAAAAAAAATTGCATGCGTACTAGATAATTTTGTAGTGTAATCATAAGTGGAAGTCTTCTATATGATTAAAATGACAGATTTACCAGCCTATTTCCTAGAACTCTTGTATATGACTAAAATGACAGATTTACCAGCCTATTCCCTAGAACTCTTGTATATGACTAAAATGACAGATTTACCAGCCTATTTCCTAGAACTCTTGTATATGACTAAAATGACAGATTTACCAGCCTATTCCCTAGAACTCTTGTATATGATTAAAATGACAGATTTACCAGCCTATTTCCTAGAACTCTTGTATATGATTAAAATGACAGATTTACCAGCCTATTTCCTAGAACTCTTGTATATGACTAAAATGACAGATTTACCAGCCTATTTCCTAGAACTCTTGTATATGACTAAAATGACAGATTTACCAGCCTATTCCCTAGAACTCTTTTATATGATTAAAATGACAGATTTACCAGCCTATTTCCTAGAACTCTTGTATATGACTAAAATGACAGATTTACCAGCTTATTCCCTAGAACTCTTGTATATGACTAAAATGACAGATTTACCAGCCTATTTCCTAGAACTCTTGTATATGACTAAAATGACAGATTTACCGGCCTATTTCCTAGAACTCTTGTATATGACTAAAATGACAGATTTACCAGCCTATTCCCTAGAACTCTTGTATATGACTAAAATGACAGATTTACCAGCCTATTTCCTAGAACTCTTGTATATGACTAAAATGACAGATTTACCAGCCTATTTCCTAGAACTCTTGTATATGACTGTAGATCAACACATATTTAACTTTTTGAAATATTCATTATATATATAAAGTTAAACTTTGCTGTTTGCTAATAATGACATTTTCAAATTTTTGGGGGTCTGTGACAGAGTAAGTTCAATTTTTGGGGATATCAGTACTGAGACAGTCCGATACTATACCCCTCTCTTGCGTAATGAAATAAAACATAAATTGCTTCTTGATTTATTATAAATAAGATTTCACCGACGCTCTGTAGCTCTTTTTTTCTAATGCAAAGGGCTTAAAAAGATACTAAAACCTATATGCAAAGAAAAGGTGTATTATACAATTAACCAGTAAATCGGTTGATGCGTTTTGCGGTTAGCCGATATATATATAATTGTTAAATTTTCGGAACTCATTGTCCCTTCCTCAGGACAAAGACAAAAGTTATTAAGTCATACAAACAAAGTAAAACAGAGAAACAAAAAACAACTAGCACTACAACCAACTACCAAACACTGTAAATTGACATGTACAATGTTACATGTCTAATTTGAAAGTTTTTCACCTATTGTAAAGAAAGAAATCCGGACCGCTAAGAAATACGTGGGGATTGTCTGGTTTTCTAGTGCTTAATATAATTTTATATATATATATATATATATATATATATATATATATATATATATATATATATATATATATATATATATATATATATATATATATATATATATATAATTTAATTTTGCTTATAACGCAGTATTTGATCGGATAAAAATTTACTTTATATCGTATAAATTGGGTTGCCTACGTCACAATTATTTCCGTCAGAAACGTATCGATCCGCCTGACGTTACATTCAAATTTTGTACAATTTGATGTCATTTTTAAGGGCGTTATCTTTCTTTCTTACACTAAATAATGGAAATTAAATCATAAGAAATGCAATTAATAGCTACCCAAGTTATACGCTATATTAGCTACCCAATTTATACACTTTTGTATAAAGCGTAAACTGCCCTAACCCACTTTATACCGTATAAATTGGGTAACTGTTAAATTCATTCCTTATATATATATATATATATATATATATATATATATATATATATATATATATATATATATATATATATATATATATATATATATATATATATATATATATATATATATATATATATATATATATATATATATATTTGTGTGTGTGTTTTTCATTGAATTCAGAGGACATAAATATGTATGTGACATGGGTTAAAATTACCCAGTCTTCTTCCTTAAGATTAATATACACATATATCATCCTTGAAACCTGTGCACCGTTTGATGTACTTTTGATTTTTTTCTGAAACTTTTAAGAAGAAAACCATAGAAATGGCATACAATTCAGCAGTTAGAAGTATAGCGTCTTATCAATTAATAATTGTTATTTTCATTCATATGTCGACTCCATATATCACATTGAACTCGAAATGAAAGACACCACAAGGTCTGCCACTTCCGTTTCAGATTTGTTTCTTTTACTGACTACACAGTACCAACCAGACCCAACCTGACACCTGAGCAGTCCCAGAAAGCAGTCTTGGGGACTGCTTTGGGAACGCTCTGGGACTGCTGTGGGTCCGCAGTACAGTTAAGGTGCGCAATGGAAATATCGGCACTTTTTGTGATTAAAAATATATTCTTAATCAGGATGGCGATTCTTTTCAGTACTCTATTTATATTGGACAAATGTAATTATGGTAAATAACTACATATTGAAGACGATAAAATTTTATCTTTAGACTTGTCACGTGATGCGGTAGTCACGTGATATAGCGCATATACTTGCAGTATCGAGGTCACCTATAAATTTCACTAGTACAAGGGCATAATCAAGTTAAAATTCTAAATTTAGTGTAAAAATATTTTCAACAAGCATTGTAGTTTCTGAAAAGTGCTGCAATCCTCTATAGATTCTGCTATTTCATTGTTAAAATCATATTTGTATGACTGCATGCTATATTTTTAGCTGGTCAACGGCATTAAATATAGATATAACTAGACTCTTGTTGCCATGGCAACAAAAAGGTCTTCCGTTCCTATATGATACCGTTTGCATTGTGTTTTTTATGTAGGAAATGTGTACAGTATGTAATAATTAAGTTGTAAAGAATCTAAAATTTGACCTTTCGGTACTTGTCGTCCATTGATTTTTACTGCAAAAATGAATGTATCTGTTGTCCTTATATATGAAATTGTATGCATATTTTTTTCATTAATAGAAGCATATTTTAACCATTTTTAAATTTAAGTTAAATGGGGGGGGGGGGTATCTAGAAAACAACCTGTCAGTTCTTACAGTACTTTGATTTTCACTGCTAAAATGAAAGTATCCACCGTACGTATATATAAACATGAGAAATTATAAAACATGTAGTGTATGATTTGAATTTCGCATTTAGAGAAACATCTTTATATAAGTCAAAGTAAAAAAAAACAATACTAAATATCCTTTCAGTCTTTACGGTACTTTGATTTTTATTGGCTAATGAAAATAGCTTCCATAGGTAACTTATTGTGTGCATTGATTTTGATGCATAGAAAAACATGCCTGTTTATACTACACTGTAGTAAGAAAAAAGTGGGTATCTAAAGCAGTCCTCTCAGTACTTCAGGTACTTTGATATTTACTGCAATTAATTGTGGTCTTCATTCTGATATATTATACTGTATGTATTGATTTTTGTATGCAGAGAAACATGTAAACATAACCTTCATGTAAGTTAAAGTAAAAAATGCCCTCTCAGTACTTTCAGTAC